CCCCTATATCTCCCTACCCCCTCTCTCCCCCTCTCTCTCTCCCTATATCTCTCACACACACTCCCTCTCCCCGCACAGACCAACAGCGAATTCCGCGCCATGATGAACGGCTATCAGATGAGTAACCGCACAAGCAGTGTCCAGTTTGTGTCCCCTCTCCCCCCTCTCTCCCCTCACTCCCTCTTCCTCTCCCCTCCCTATATCTCTCTCACACACACACTCTCTCCCCGCACAGACCAACAGCGAATTCCGCGCCATGATGAACGGCTATCAGATGAGTAACCGCACAAGCAGTGTCCAGTTTGTGTCCCCTCTCCCCCCTCTCTCCCCTCACTCCCTCTTCCTCTCCCCTCCCTATATCTCTCTCACACACACACTCTCTCCCCGCACAGACCAACAGCGAATTCCGCGCCATGATGAACGGCTATCAGATGAGTAACCGCACAAGCAGTGTCCAGTTTGTGTCCACCCTGACAGACACCCCCGACGCTGTGGACTGGAGAGACAAGGGATACGTCACCAAGGTCAAGAACCAGGTAAACTAATATAATATATATTATATCACATTTGGCAACGTGAAAACATGTGTCACTTTTCCCATAAAACTACGACAACTACAGAGTCGAAAGTTGGCAAGTACTTGCAAAAAGATAGATAGTCCCAATGACGGAACGGGATTTTAAAAAAAAATTATTTCCTGAATTTATACAAATATATTTAACAAACAGTTCCCGTCCTTCTTTGGCCTTTGTGATTATTCCACTGAGGAATGAAACAAATCTGCGTAGCTGTCCTCCACAGGGGAAGTGCCGGAAGTGATATTTCGCGAGGCACATTTTGTTTTGAGATTATAGATCAAGACCTAACTTTTTACATCTCTCTAGATTTGTTGCTCCATTCTAGTAGAGTGTAAATATAGTAGGCCAATGACTTTCAGTTGATGTTAATGCACCGATCATTCCTTTTTTCGAAAGGTAGCCCAGCTAGTAATATTATATACACAATTCATAAATGTGCTTAAATTTTTGTTTTAGTAAGAGTTATACGGCACTTGCAGCACAACAAGGTCATGTAAGTACCGAATAGTGCTCTGTAGTCAAACATGATACCAACTGAGCTAATGGCATGCCGTACTTACTAGATCTAGGCCTAACGGTATTTTAAAAATACATTATTAATAATACGCAGTTTTTACTCTCCCCCTAATCCCACCCCCCTCTCGCTCTCCCCCTCACTCACATCCTCCCCCCACCCCCACCAGGAAAGATGCGGATCATGCTGGGCTTTCTCTACCACTGGTTCCCTGGAAGGCCAGACCTTCAAGAAGACGGGCAAACTTCCCTCTCTCTCGGAACAGAACCTGGTGGACTGCTCCAAGAAAGAAGGTGGGTCTTTCTTGATGATGATGATGATGATGATGATGATGATGATGATGATGATGATGATGATGATGATGATGATGATGATGATGATGGGCGAAACGTTGAGCTTGTCATTATATATTTTGGAAGTACTACCAGGTCTTAATCACTTTACTATCTGTACAGATGTTGGAAATAATAAGGGTGATAATAACGATTTTGATTATGATAATGATAATGCTTTGTGATAATAATGATGATAATATGTTTAGTAAAAGTTTTGCAGCACACATAAAATTTACACACATACACACTCTCACACACACACTCACATTTACACAAACAACCACACACTCACACACACACACACACACACACACACACACACACACACACACACACACAC